AGGTGGTTGATCATACTATTATATAAAAGTTTCAGAAAAAAAAAGATTGTAATAAATAATAAGGTAGGCTTACGTAACACACCATAATGAAAGATGCTCTCATTCATTCAAACAATTTTTTTAGCAACAACACATTATAAATGGCCATCACAATAGTTTGTATCCAATGTTTAGTTTAAACTAGAACTGTGTCCAAAGGACACGGTTGCCCCCACTGACAACATATATATATGGTATATAGTGAAAAAATCAACAAAGGGCCATTATTCTGTTAAATTTGGTCGCAGCATAAATTCCTTCCTTTACTTCCATCTACACATTAAGGTTGTTCATCCCTGGAAGTTTAAGCAAAATCTGCCATCCTGTTTAAGAGGAGATGCGTTCACAAAATTTCTATATGGTATATAGTGAAAAAATCAACAAAGGGCCAAAATTCTGTTAAATTTGGTCGCAGCAAAAATTCCTTTCCTTTACTACCATCTACACATTAAGGTTGTTCATCCCTGGCAGTTTAAGCAAAATCTGCCATCCGGTTTAAGAGGAGTTGTGTTCACAAAATTTCTACATAGTATATAGTGAAAAAATCAACAAAGGGCCATAATTCTGTTAAATTTGGTCGCAGCGAAAATTCCTTCCTTTACTACCATCTACACATTAAGGTTGTTCATTCCTGGAAGTTTAAGCAAAATCTGCAATTCGGTTTAAGAAGAGTTGCATTCACAAGATTTTGGGACGTACGGACAGACGTACGGACGGACAGACATACGGACGGACGGACAAGTGCAACGCTATATGCTCCCCACTTTGTGGGGGCATAAAAAAAATCATTCTACAAATTACAAGTTATTCAGATGTGCCTTTGTGTTTTGTGATATTTTACATCATATTTGGTGATTTGCATTTTTTTTGTATTACTAATCACTTGTAGGGTTTCATAAAATTATTTTAAACAGCCTTACATAATGGCCTTGCATAATGAAATCAAATGCATATCAAATCAAGACTGATAATCTATCTAACAGCTCTTAAGAAGGACTGTTATCATGTTTTCATGATACAAGAACTTGAAATGTTTAAATAAGCATGATGATGTAAGAAAGATAAAGATTAAGTTTGGTGATAATCAGACTCTTCAAAATGATCTTGACCCAAAAAATGTCTTACCTTTAAATTTCTGAAATGCATGGCTACAATACATACGACACACTGATAATATGCATGGTAATGAATTAAATGAATAAAATTATTTGCATGTTAGCCGACCTTGGTCAAATTGACGTGGACACTAGACCTCATAATAATGAAAATTTGTGCAAAATTGTATAAAAAGGTGAAGATTTGCTCCAGACAAGGGTTTCCTCTTAACTTTTGTTACTTTTGCCTTTGACCAAGCTGCCTGGTTCATGATCAGAGCACTACACTTTCTGATTATGAATTCTTCTATCAAGTAATACAAATTCCATCTTGCCAGTAGAAGATATTCTCCAGACAAATCTGATCATTTCATAGTGACCTTGACATTGCATCCCCCTTGTGCTATTAAGGGTTGAGGCAATAGATCCCCCTTGTGACTATGGGGTTGCTATTAAGGGTTGAGGCAGTAGATCCCCCTTGTGGCTAAGGGGTTGCCATTAAGGGTTGAGGCAATAGATCCCCCTTGTGGCTAAGGGGTTGCTATTAAGGGTTGAGGCAATAGATCCCCCTTGTGGCTAAGGGGTTGCCATTAAGGGTTGAGGCAATAGAATTGCAGCCAACATTTATCCCTGTCTAATCATAAGAGGTGAATAAATGGGTTTGAATAACTGGTGTCTATGCATCTCTTAGCTCCAGCAGGTGAGGTGGTTTTTCTTCAGTTTGTAACACCCGAGGTAAGTCAAAATCATCTTTCCTGTTTCAGCATCATATGATCTAATTTGTGTTGGTGTGCCATAAAAACAAACAAACAAGCATATATGGACTTTTATTATACATTATGAACTTTTAAAATCCTTCATTTTATGATGAAAAAAATTATCTGTTCACATAATTCAGAACTTCTTCTGAACTTTGACCTATACAATGTATTATGTGTAACAAAATAACCTGAGTGCTCACAATCACAGGTGCTAGTGGCATTGATTTGACCTAAAATGTGTTTGACCTTGTTATTTATACAATAAAATATCAATATATTAAAAAAAAAAAAAAAAAAAAAAAAAATTTTTTTTCACTTTTATATTATTATAGAAAGAAAAGAAAATTAAGGGTACGCCGGTCTATAATAATATAACAGTGAAAAAAATTTTTTTTTTTTTTTTTTTTTTTTTTTTAATATATTGATATTTTATTGTATAAATAACAAGGTCAAACACATTTTAGGTCAAATCAATGCCACTAGCACCTGTGCTCACAATGGTGAACATTGTGCTATTTTATATCAAATTATTTCTCATCTAGGGACCTTATTCATGCCCTTGAACTATGTCTTATGATGGTTAACGGTTATATCAGAAAATGCTGACACATCTGTTTATTTAATCATCTTTCGAGTGACTGACACTGCATTACCTGGGCCCTGTTTACACATGACTCAGCGTCAAAATGACAAACATTTGAGTTAGAATCTCTTAATTAAGAGATAATTAAATAATCTATACAGTCTGAATTTCAAACTTTCATCTGACCTTTGACAACTACGTGTGACCTAAACCTTAGAAACAAAGACCTGAATTTGCATGAAGCACCCCTCTTCACAGTAGTGATTAGTTGTGCCATGTGCAATAAATGCCTTCATGCATATACATGTTTTGCTCCAAACAAGCATTTTCCTCTAACTCATAGTGTGACTTTGACCTTAAAACATGATTATTTGTGTGGCACTATGTCTCATAATGGTAAAAATTTGTATCAAGTTATACCAAACTCCCTCAATTGCTCCAGACAGATTTCTAATATAATATTCTCTTTGCAAATTTTCACTGCCTATTTACACAATTCAAAGTGAATTTGCATATTTATCATAATTTTTACACATTGTAATTGGAAGGCCATAAATCTGAACATTTTGTAAAACTGTAAATACCTAAACCTCTACGGACATTAATATTACCAACCCTGATACTGTCAGACAGTGCTCTAGTATAAATATCAGTGAGTACATGTAGTTGAAGTCAAAATTAACCTTAAATCTCAGAAAACCACAAAGCTAAGATTAAACTAGGAATCTGCAAATTTTGAGATTTGCATGAACTCAAAATTCCAAAAATTGCTAAGTGGATTATATTACTGCAAAATATGATTGTATGCAATATCTGTACAACAAAAATTTTGTAAGTAAATTTAGCTTAAATCGAGAACTACAAAGTTCTGATGTCTTGTGACATTTCGACGTCAATTCAGCCAAATACATAAATTGAAGTCTTCATGTCTCAAACTTTTCAAGCAATTTCCTTCAACTTTGTCTTACCCACAAGTTCTACTGTTATTATTTTGGTTTTTCTTACTCTCAGAGGACCTCTCTGACTTAAAATCTTAACAATTCTTTAACAATAATACTTCTTTGTTTTGATCTTATGTTATAAGTTTGAAGTCTTTCCCTTGCATACCGGTAGTTTAAAAAATAATAAAACTTTGGGAGATAAATAAAAAATGAGACTTCTCAGACACTACACTTCTTATTGTTACTTATAACATAAAATTATGATTTAAATTAAGACAATCTTTTGTTACTATACACTTAGATACTATAAAAACAATAGTACCATAAAGGTGAGGCAATATACCTCCAAATACAAACAATCTTTATCTAAATAAGGAAATATACAAAGTTAACACATAAACAGAATATGTATTCTTATTTTCCTACATAGCCTTTTCACTCAACAAAAACAAAGAAATTAAATTGTATATGTTTACAAAATTCAGAAATCCTTTTGCACACTATTAAAATACATGAATATAACAGATCAGTTAGAAAGTCAAGAGAGTTTACAAGATTGATACAGACAGATGGACAGACAGACAAAAAAAATCGAGGTAAGTAACGAAAGTGGCCTGTAAGTATCCTTGACCATGATCTATGTTTGCCAGTACAGTATTACATTTGCAAATCTATTTCAGGTATACAGACTTTTCTATTTAATAGTTCACTTTCATCTTATATTATTATGGGTATACACATGAAGTTGTGGCAAGTAATCTAAACTTCCTTTGATAATATTTTAAGAGATACAGAGCAGACATTGTATTGTTAAGAAAGAGACAGATAGACAAAAAGCCAACCAGAGGAATAAGATAAAACTGCATGCCCCTTTGGCATAATTAAGTTTCAGGGAATGGTCATAAATGGATCTCATTTTGAGTTGTTTATCTACCAATTTTCACTTATTTGCTATCTAAAATTAAATGTAAACTTAAATAAATTTCAAAATCAAATAATTTCTGAGCCACAAATGACATCAAATCTGCCAATCCACCAGTTAAAACTTATATACACTTTCCCAACTTTTTTAGGTCAAAATAAAAATATTGATCAATTCTTTAAAAACATATTGCCTAAAGACCATTCATAAGAACTGCCTAAAAACTCACCCCATCAATTCAAGTATGTGCTCAAACATTCATAATTTAAACAATATAGTAAATTATGAAGAATTTTGATCATAATTTTTTTAAACCTTTATAAACAATAGGCCAGAATCCACTTTGTCAGTATCTTGTTACCCTTGTAACAATTAATTTAAGCTATACAGTAACAGCCTGTACAGTCTACACAAACAAATCTAGACCAATGGTTTAAATATGTTCATAACGAAAAGTGAAGTTTTGGAATCATGTCATTCTATGAACAGACCTGAAAACCTCAGGTATGCCCCTAATACAATAAAATATATCTTTACAGTATAATGATTCATTTACTATAAGCAAAGGTTCACATGATGTTGTACCTTCAATACCTGTAAAATGAAGTATATTTCTGTCATAATCATTAATACAAAACACACACAGCATGGGAAACTCACCTCTTTGGGATAGGATTTTCTGAATGCTGAAAAAGTTTCCAGTCTCGAGTCCACCAAGCCCACAGCTTCATAGTCAGCCACTCCCCCTAATGTAGACCTGGAAATATACATCAATAATTAATATCAATTAACTTAAAAATAATAACAGGTGTCATTAGGTAAACCTGAAACATCTATGTATATCACTTCATTAAGAAGATAAAAGCCCCAAAACTGTCCAATACTTAAATGCAATAATTTAATCTCACAAATTACTTAAATTATTACTTTAATATGAAAGCAAATTTTATTTACCTAATTATATTGGTATTAGGAAATGAAAAATTGAAATGTAAAAGTTTTTCTTACAAATACTGAACATGTAGACTCCTAAGATCTCTAGACTATGATTTTGTTCATGTTTATGAAAAAGGACCAAAATTATTACCAATTAAATGCACATTTATATACCCTAGAATTATAAGTTATACTTAAATACACTTAAAACATAAAGAGTTGTTCATATACACACCCATTAATGACATAATTGGTATAGTCAAAATGACTCATTTGACAAATTATTCTAGAGTTTAGATCACATTTATTTTCTGATATTTTGGATAAGTGCAATTATTTATGTTTATGAAAGAATCAAAAATATAGGATACTGTACATAGATCCACTAAGATATATAATTATTATATATACATCCAATAAGAAATTATACACAAAGATGGTTAAAGACAGATATATTAATTAAGCAAAGTACAACAAGGGAGATAACTAACCAAAACATGGACTGATGTCTATAATGCCTATTTTCTCCTGCCATATTAAATCCTGCCAGTCTACCAGTCATTGAGGCGTGGTCAAAGTGTTCTACACGCCGACGTCCTAGTTTAACATCATAAAATGATGCACAGTCACCAGCCTAAATAAAATAAACAGAATAAAATAAAGCCATAAGCCTATATAAAATAAACAGATAAAAATATTTTCCCAAGCTTTGAAATAAACATAGAAATAAACAAGAATTTGTAACAGAGTTACCAACGTCCCCCACCTCAGGGAATTTTTAAACGAAGCATAAAATTGTGCTATTTCAAAAGATTGAGGTATGGATCTCAGGACTTTCAGTCCAAACTTATGATCAATGCTAGATCTGCAAATGCATCAATAAATTTATTAAAGAAATAAAATGAAACACAGAATTTAAAAATTCATCATGTAAAGCTTTGACCTCAAAGTGTGACCTTGACCTTGGAGGTAGGGGTGCAGGTGTTATGCATGACATATAGTCTTATTATTGTAACTATTAGTGCCAAGTATTTTCAAAATCCCTTGAACTATGAAGAAGTTATAGATTGGACACAAAATATACCCTATAACAAACTATGTAAATCTTTGACCTCTAAGTGTGACCTTGACCTTGAAGGTAGGGACACAGGTGTTACGCATGACATATTATCTTATCATTGTGACTATTTGTGCCAAGTATTTTCAAAATCCCTTGATCTATGAAAAAGTTATGGACAGGACACAAAATATACCATATAACAGACTGTTAACCTTTGACCTCTAAGTGGGACCTTGACCTTAGAGGTAGGGGTGCAGGTGTGGTACTTGACATAGTGTTTTCTTATTGAGACTATTTGTGCCTAGTTATTTCAAAATCCCTAAGAAGTTCTTGATCGGACACAAAATATACCCTAAAACAGACAATGTTTATTTTTGACCTCTAAGTGTGACCTTGAACTTGGGGTTTGGGGGTTTAAATTTTGGTTGTGCATGAAAACATTGTTTTTATTATCAGTGAAAAAATTTTGGCAAGTATTACAAAAATTTTTTCCGATCTTTTGGACAAATTAAAAATAAACCGGAAAACAAAAAATTTATACCCCCAAAAAATAAAACCCCCGGGGAAACTTAAAAGTTAAATTTTCCCTTTTGACCCCCCAAGTGTACCCTTGATTTAAATTTTTAAAAAGGAAAAAGAACCTCAAGGTTGAAAAATTGCCGCAAAGGGAACAAAATCGTCTCATTTTTTTGGAAAAAGGGGGATTTTTTGGAAAAGTTTTTTACAAAACCCCCCAAAGAAAGAAAGTTAGGGGACCGGACACAACAATATACCCCCCCAAATAGAAAATGTTGACTTTAAAATTTAGCAATGCCCCCCTTGGGGGCCCTTTTGGAGGTAAGTTTGGTTGTTGCGCATGACACATCGTCTTATTTTAACAAACATTTGTGCCAAGTTATTTCAGATTCCTTTGATAAATGATAAAGTTATGGACCGGACACGAAAGTGTGACGGACGGACTTTTAAAAAAGTACCAAACAATACATCAAAATTCATTAAAAATACCCAACAATACGTACAGAGTGAGTAGGATTGGTAGTTGTTGGGGTATTTGACGTACCTAAACATATTACCTCTTGTCGAGATGCGATAGACCGGAATATCAAAAATGGTACTTAGTGACTTTTCCTTTGATCTTTCTGGGCACATTTTTAGTACACAAATGGCTAAAAGACACACAGTAAACGGAATGAATAGGATCAAAAGAGAATTTTACTGTGTTACCCATATGTTCTTCAAGTCACACAAGTACCTAATCTGGTTCGTACAGATGTCCGTCCGGACAGACGTCCTAACAGACAGACAGACAGACAGACAGAGCCTATTTCTATATCCCCCTTTTTTCTTCGAAAAGGCGGGGGACAATTAGCAATGGATGCCCCCACATTCCACTGTTTTGCCGGTCTTCTGACATACAGCTGGATAGTATGACAGATGGACAGACAAAGAAAATTCTAGCAGACTCCCCCCTACCCCTAAGTGGTTGGGGTATAAAATGACATACAATTTTTTAATCTTGATTTTTTCCCAATGTTGACCTGCTAGAAATCCAAATATCAATTTTATATCCTAAAGTATGCTTAAAAGAAAATAAAAGCATGGCACAACTGCACATGCTGACCGACATTTCTGTAAAGTTTCATGACTCTAGGTCAAATACTTTTTTTGACTTTGTGCAATGCAAGTTGAAAATTTGAAAATCACACTTTTTTAACTAAGTCAAGGGCAATAACTCTATAAATATTGAATAAATGCACAAGCAAGTTCCCAAATGCACAGCTACATATGCTGACCAACCTTTCTGTAAAGTTTTTTAACCTTAGGTCAAATACTTTTAGAGTAACACATGACAAATGTTAAACACTTCAAACTTGTTACTAGGGGCAATAGCTATAAATACTTAATAATGCACAAGTAAACCCAAATGTGCATAACTACACATGCTGACCAACATTTCTGTAAAGTGCTATGACTCAAGGTCAAATATTTATAGGGCTACTTGTGACACAAATTAAAATATATATATTTTATTAAGTCAAGGGTAAAAAACTAACAAGAGGGCCATGATGGCCCTGAGGTCGCTCACCTGTATATAGGTCCCCGGAGCGGGGCCAGTTTAAACCCCAGGGCTTTTATTTGAGCAGACTTGGAAGACACCCATTAGAAGATGTTTCAAGATGTTAAGTTTTTACTACACACATATAATGAAAAACAATGACCTCCGCCCCCCCCCCCCCCCCCCCCTTGGCAGGGCCAATTTAAACCCAAGGGCTTTTATTTGGACAAACTTGGTAGACACCAACAAAAAGATGTTTCCTGCTTAAAATCTAACCTCTAGCTCATTGGGTTTTTTAAAAGAAGATTTTTTAAGTTTTTTACTATACACATATAGTTAAAAACAATGACACCTCTGGGGCGGGGCCAGTTTTAACCCCAGGGCTTTTATTTGAACAGACTTTGTAGACACTTACTAGAAGATGTTTCATTCTTAATATCTAAACTCTAGCTATTTAGGTTTTTTCAAAGAAGATTTTTTAATTTTTTTGCCTTAAAAACAAAAAGGGGAAAATAATAAACCCCCTTGGCTATCAAAAATGGGCCGTTTTTTTGCACCCCAGGGGCCTTTTAAAATTTGAAAAAAAAACCTTTTTAAGGAAGAAAAACCCAATTTAAACATGGTCATCCCTAAAAAATTTTTTTAGCTCTAGCTCTTTGGGTTCTTTAAAAGAAGATTTTTTAAGTTTTTACTATATGGGCTACTTTCAAAATAATGGTTAGAAAAGTTGAAAAAATGTTAGAATTGAAAACTTCATAAAGTACAAAAATGTTTGTTTTCTTTCCAAGACCAACCATTACAGTGTACAAATTCAACTAGGTGTTAAGCTAAAAATGAATAATAAAATTCTTATCAAGATTTTATTAAGCTGTATAGGCAAAAAAGAACAACAATACATGATCTTTTTCAAATTCTATTTTTTTGCAAAAAAAAAAATTAAGCATAGGTTCAAAGCCTATTTTTCATAGCTGTAATGTTGTCATACTAAAAAAAGTGTTAATGAGCTAGATAAATATAAAATATTATTCAAATTGGATTTTCTTTGCATTTTCCCCCATTGAAATTCAAATTTACAAAATGAAAGTTTTATTTGCTGATAAAATGGTGCATCATTATTATAAACATAGATCTATTCTTGGACTTTGGACAGTAACAAGCAACACAGTAAAATAAATGATGGCAGAAATAATGATTTTATTTCACAGGATCAGCATGAAAACATGAGCATTTTTGTAACAAATTGTTACACTCCTGACATGTATAGCTGCTTATCATTAACAAGATTCTAAAAACAAATGATCAATATCAATTGTAACTAATGGACATTTAAACATTCCTGAACAAATTTGAAAAAGATGTCTCCAATTTTAGACATACTTTTAAGAAAGTCACCCAAATCCGTACCATCACAAATGATAATGTATACTAGTGGCTTACAACATGAAGACAAAATTAGTGTCTGTCATAATAAACAATAGAACACTGAAACAGTTCATATATGATCTCCTGAAATTGGTCTTATGACTAGATTGTATAATAAAATGGGTTACAAATATGTTCCATATACTGTTACACTCCTGACAAAAAGTGCATCTCAAGCTGTTAGCTGTTTTTCCGACAATTCAAGTTCTGTAATATCAAACATGATTTTTAACCCACGACCAGGCAATAATGTAGGATGTGATAATTTTCGTAATATGTCATCTGGAGACTGCCATGATATGTCGTCTGCCTTGGGCCATGTGTAGATCCCCCGAGAATTGGTGCTCTCTAAGAATCTAAGCTGAATATCCCCATCTACCTGCAAAACCTGTCAAAAAGAAGATCTTATAAAGATATGTTTTAAGATAGTTTATTCTATTTCTTTTTAATAAATCCAAACATTAATGAGAAAACTGTATTTTAATTATCTATGAAATTTGAACCCAATGTTAAATAAAAGATTTACCTTGGCTACATAAAGAAACTTTTTCTTTTTGCGTGAGGTCAGACCAACAGCTACATAATCATCTGGTACATATCTGAAGATAGCAAGTATGCTTTTTAATTAGAAGTTACTTTACCAATATAGTATTGTTAATTTGATTTGAAAACTGTCATTTGCAAATTGGATATTCAAAGATCACTTGAATTTGTTTATATCTAAACAAGAATTTGTAACAGAGTTACCAACGTCCCCCGCCTTGGGAAGTTTTATATGAGGATAAAATTGTGCTATTTCAAAAGATTGAGGTATGGATCTCAGGACATTCAGTCCAAAATTATGATCAATGTTAGATCTGCAAATGTAATAATGAATTTGTTAAAAAAAATAAAATGAAACACAAAATTTTTAAAATCTATCATGTTAAGCTTTGACCTCTAAGTGTGACCCTGACCTTGGAGGTAGGGGAGCAGGTGTTGTGCATGACATAATGTCTTATTATTGAGACTAACCAAGTATGCCAAGTATTTTCAAAATCCCTTGAACTATGAAGAAGTTATAGATTGGACACAAAATATACCCTATAAAAGACTATGTAAATCTTTGACCTCTAAGTGTGACCTTGACCTTGGAGGTAGGGACACAGATGTTACACATGACATATCATATAATCATTGTGACTATTTGTGCCAAGTATTTTCAAAATCCCTTAATCTATGAAGAAGTAATGGACGGAACACAGAATATACCAAATAACAGACTCTGTTAACCTTTGACCTGTAAGTGTGACCTTGACCTTTGAGGTAGGGGTGCAGGTGTTGTACTTGACATATTGTCTTATTATTGTGATTTTTTGTGCCAAGTTATTTCAAAATCCCTTGAACTATGAAGAAGTTCTAGGTCCGCCACAAAATATAACCTATAACAGATTATGTTAATTTTTGACATCTAAGTGTGACCTTGACTTTACTTGCTACACTGATACACAGATGGTCAGCATATGTACCATTCATACTTTCTTACTCTTTCTTTTGATGAAGATGCCTTATTCTGCTCTATATTTGATCTTTTTATATTTTCTATTGACCTTCTTATAGCTGGAAGACTGACTATTAATTTGTCCATGCTTAATTTACTATTTGTTCTGTAGAAAAGGAATAATACCATTTTTGGTCAGGAGGGTAACAAATACACATACATGTTTACAAGTTATGATAGCAACACAACCTGTCCTATTCTATATTTATTTTTACATATAAATGGTTATTGCTAACTTTATTTAAGCATAAATGTAAAAAAAATAATCTTGGTTACTTGAAATAAAAAAGCAGCATTTATCTTGATTTAAATGTAAAAATTCAATCTTTCTAGACAAAAATTAGAAGTTTAGATAATTCTTTACTTACCTTATATGCACCAGATAGAATATTTATTCCCGGAACTGCACTATTAGTCAAAAACTCTGCACAGCAAAACAATAATGCATTCGAAAAAAGAATACGCGGAAATTTCACCAAATTACGTTACACTCCTGACAATTGCATGTCATCTATGCACGCAATATATAACCATGATCTTCATTCATGATTGTCACTTATGATCACTCCCAGTCTCAGACTTTCAGGAAAAATACATTATATGTATATGTGTCAACTTATGACATCACTGTTACTATTTATATACCAAATGTTACACTCCTGACAAAATTAAGCCAGTTTATTTAGATGAGGAAAAACTATAGAAATAGTAGTAATTTATCAAAAGTATTTTACCTATCTGTTATTATGAGATATATATCATAATTTTGAATATCAAAAACTGAAAATTTTATAAGGGCTATTAAAAGTGTACACCAAAACAGATTTTTTTTTTTTTAAAATAAGTGAAAAATATTTTAGCCCCTTATTTATAAAAAACTTATTTTTTATTTTCTGATAAGTAATTCATTATAAAGTTATATACTTACTTGAAGGACATATATTTTACTTTATCTTAAAAACAGTTATAATTATCAGCATTGTCAATGTTTTTCTTAGAAGTGTTTTGAAAATGGCAAATTTTGCAAAGTGTCACGCTATTTTGTTACACTCCTGACATATTTGGCCTGTTTTTTCAGCATAACTTTTTTATATCTGAAGCAAAATCCACAAAACTTCACACACTTCTTAATAACATAGCTTTACATGTTTGGAGAAAAAAACAGTTATAATAGACTGTTGAATACTTCTTTTATTTAAAGAAAACCTCTACTAGCCATTATTTTGAAAATAGCCCATATGCATATTGTAACGATCAAGCCCATCATTTTACGTCCGAAAATAAACCCGTATCCGGAAACTACTCAAGTACTAAAGTAATTTACTGTATTTCATGACATCAACTTTTAATCAACCATACATACACTGCATGTACAGATAACTTCATCCTTTTAATATTTACGATGGTTATATTACTTAAAATAACTTATTTTCTACGTTGTAGCCGTTTTAATGATCAATTAGCCACACGCTGCCAATTTAAACATGGCAGCTGGCACTGGCTAAATTTTTGCCCGCGCAAGCCAGGCAGTGACGTCATCGGAGACGATGACGATACTGCCAAGCTAGGCACCCTAGCCAAGCTAGCCACCCAGCGTCCGAGACTATAAATAGCAGCCTGAATCTGCCAAAATTGTCAGTACCTTGGTAGATAGCCACCAGACCACACCTATACTATATTGAATATGGATGTATCTCCAGCCACCAGAAAGGTATAGAATACTTTGTGCCAGTAATAGTTCATATAGAAGCTTTATATTAAATCATCTAGTTTGGCAGTTTGGCATTATTTTCCATTTATGATAGATCCTGACTGAATAGCCATAATCCCATATTTTATAGTGATACCCATATACCAGGGTAGAACACTACTGTATTTTGTAGTTACCATCTTAGATACCCCATCAACCTTATAGCATTTCATGGTAATTCCTACCATAGAATTTGTACCAGACCACAGGCAAGACGTGACACCGTATTTGTCAAGCCTTTCATTACATCTTATATTATACATTATTCTAGACGTAAGAGAAGAATATTCCTGACCTAAGACGAGGAGCCCAAGCCAGAGCCATCCACAGAATATACTATATACGAATTTTATTGTTTGTGAAATGTATATTTAATAAATTTTTGTGTTAATCTTATTTCAGGTGTCCGTATCTTTTAGTCCTTGTGTCCCTAATTTTCCCTTTTTCATTTACGTGTGTTTGAGAAGAACCCACGTGTCGATTTTTTAAATTTTTGCTTTACACATATAAGGAAAATCAATGACCCCCGGGGCGGGGCCAATTTTGACCCCAGATCTTTATTTGAACAATATTTGTAGACGTCCATTAGAACATGTTTCATGCTAAATATCTTAGCTCTAGCTCTTTGGGTTCTTTAAAAGAAGATTTTTTAAGTTTTTACTATATGCATATAGGGAAAATCAATGACCCCCTGGGGCGGGGCCAATTTTGACCCCAGGGCTTTTATTTGAACAAACTTTGTAGACACTCACTAGAAGATGTTTCATGCTTAATATCTAAACTCTAGCTATATGGGTTTTTTCAAAGAAGATTTTTTAAGTTTTTGCTATACACATAAAAGGAAAATCAATGACCCCCGGGGCTGGGCCAATTTTGACCCCAGGGCTTTTATTTGAACAAACTTTGTAGACACCCATAAGAACATGTTTCATGCTAAATATCTAAACTCTAGCTCTTTGGGTTCTTTAAAAGAAGATTTTTTAAGTTTTTACTATATGCATATAGGGAAAATCAATGACCCCCTGGGGCGGGGCCAATTTTGACCCCAGGGCTTTTATTTGAACAAACTTGGTAGACACCTCTTAGAAGATGTTTCATGCTAAATATCTTAGCTCTAGCTCTATGGGTTCTTTAAAAAAAGATTTTTTAAGTTTTTCTATATGCATATAGGGAAAATCAATGACCCCCTGGGGCGGGGCCAATTTTGACCCCAGGGCTTTTATTTGAACAAACTTGGTAGACAGTCACTAGAAGATGTTTCATGCCAAATATCTAAGCTCTAGCTCTTTGGGTTTTTTAAAAGAAGATATTTAAAGTTTTTTCTTTTGGTTGCCATGGCAACCAGAGTTCTGCATGGAATTAAATTCTTTGAACAATTTTTAAAGGTGACCACCAAAGGAACATTCATGTGAAGTTTGGATGAAATTGGCTTAGTGGTTTATGAGGAGATGTCATTTAAAGTAAAAGTTTACGGCCGGACGCCGGACGGACGGACGCCGGACGAAAAGCGATCACAAAAGCTAACCCTGTCACTTTGTGACAGGTGAGCTAACAAAACTGAATTAATCAACAAGAGCATCCCCAAATGCACAAACTTCGCATGTTGATTAACATTCCTGTAAAGTTTGCCGTCTATAGTTCAAGCACTTTTAGAGCTTCACGTGATAACATTTTGGAACAGATGCAAGCACAGACAGATGGACAAGGGAAAATCTAAATGCCCTCCCTAGTGTTAGGGCATAAAAATAAAACATGATTGAAATTCATTCCATCCAATCAGATACAGATTATGTTTTGGGTTTACCTAAAGTTTGTATAAAATTAACAGCAGGAAGCAATATAACCAGTTGAAATAGTGTGTGGTGAGAATTTTTTAAGTTATGTAAGATTGACAGTCTCAACAGCAGCAAAAAACAAAACACAAGTGATTTATTAATGTTTTCAGAACCAAATATTTAAATATTTCAACTTTAAACTGTGAGATAAACTTGTGACAAATGCACTTACTGCCCAGATATCGGAGCGAGCTTGGAGCTCGGAATTGACACGGAATCCTCCAAACTGATCATCTACCTCTAGATCTCCACTGTATGCTAGATCAGTGTTAGGTTCTATACCCACAGCAACTACAACATGATCCACTTGTAACTAGAAATAATATGATACCATATGTTATAATAGTGACTGATATTACTTAAAGCAGAAATCAATGCTTCAAAAAATGACAAAATAACTTACAAAATCAAGCCTGAAAGAGGTGACCTCTTTGGACCAATTTAAACAAAGCATGAAGTTAAGACTGCACACTTGCTTTGTTTAAGGTTCTTTGTAAATTGCACAGGAAAAGAAAATAACACAAGCCAAATCCTTTGCTGTACGCAATTATAAAGTGAAAATCATTTCAAGCGAGGAACCTACAGGACCAGGAAAATATAGAGCAGTGTGTCTGATATAACCATTTGCTTTCACAACCCAGCATTACCAACATTCTAGAGAATATTTCATTCAGTTTAAATAACATTTTTCATATTGACAATGTTTCAAATAGATGATGTGCAAGCTAGATAAAAGAGATATTTCTAGAATTCATATGAAAAACTTTCTAGAAAAACAATATGGTAGTTTTTATAATTATAGCCTCAAAACAAAGAAGGTGGAACAAGAAAGTGTCACACTGAGGGAACTAAATATTACAAGGTAAAACTTACATGTTTGCCATTGCTGAGACCCAATTTCACCTTACCATCTTCATATACTGCAGACTTTATACTAACTTCAGACATAATATCAATACCATCTATAAAACAAGAAAAAAATCTCTTATATATGATATCACATTTCTGTCATCTGTAGGAATGTTGTTTTTTTTGGGTTTTTTTTATAAAATCAACATCACACTAAAAGAGGTTTGTCCAGAACAAATTTGTCCTCCCTTACCCATCTTTTTTAACATAGACAATAAATGTCCTTGAAGTTGCCAGAACAAAATTTGGTAGAAATGAACACAGCTAGGCTTTCTCAATGATGTCTATTTCTATCTATGGCAAACACATGTATCAAATTTTTAATACATAAAGGGCCACAACTTTGTTTTCAAAAAATCTGGGTACAATATACAAATGAATAGAACTGGTAGGATTATACTTCTAACATCTTGAAATCTAGCTTATGCTTAAGTAAGACAAAGCATGGAAAAAGTGAAATTAATTGCAGACAAAAACAATGTTTGGCTGTGACCCTTTTGTTTTGGGCGTTGTGAATCGAAGAGTTTAAAGATATTTTTAATTAAGCTTACAAATTGTCATTGGTTTACTTGCCAAAAATTAATGCACAAAAGCACATGTTAAAATTATCATTTCTAACAGGCTAATATTTCATTTTCTTTAGAATATAAAGCCAACATGTGTATTTATTTACCGTCTTTAAATTTCTGTGTTGTCCAATCACTGAGGTATGCAGGAAGAACTTTTGCCATGATTCCTATGGAAGAAAATAAAAAAAAATTTGCCCATTTTATGTACAAATTAAACATAAATAGTACACAAGTGTGCTATAAACGGCCATGCACCATCTTACTATAATTAAGATGTAAAGCAATGACAAATTACAGGACTGAACATTTCTTTTCTTTCAGAAAGCACCTGTCTTGTTGATAGATTTGCTACCCAATTAACTAAGCACAATTATCACAACCATTGATTTCAGCTATGTTTGAGAGTTTGAGATCAAACTCTACCAAACATCAAGAAATCCTGGGCATTCAAGCAATTGGTTTACATGAACCAAGTTTAACTATAGTATCATCTGTATTGAAAATGTTCAAGAAATATTTTGCAATGGATTCTTATGCATACAAGGCATGGAATTTTTTTTATTTACTCAATTCTCATTACTTCATGTCACTGACAACATTTTATAGCATGCAAAATATATTTAAATCACCAATGGGATCCCAATAAAAAATTCCTGGAAGAGTCAATAAGTTGCATTTTTACTATTACCTTTCCAAGCTTTTACATCATGCTTAGATAACTGGTTTAAAGTACATACTGAATATATAAATGCATGTATATAAGACAAAACAACTACCTTTCTCTGGAAACAGCTGATGTACTTTGAGACCCTTTGAGTAACCTTTGAAGAAATAAGTAATACATGTAAATTACTGATGAAAAGAATTCTTAATAAGTTTTTAAAGTTCTAAAATAAATCTAATCATTTAGTCAGGAGCAGTAGTCCAGTGGTAGGACGCGCGCTTAGGGATCGAGAGGTCCTGGGTTCGAACCCCACCAGGGGCACTGCTAATTTCCTTGAGCAAGAAATTTACCTGCGATTGCTTCACTTCACCCAGGTGTAAATGGATACCTGCAAGGGTGGTATAAATCCATTGCGCCAAAGTGTCAGCTGCACTAAGCGGAGTTAAAAGACTCCCCAGGGAGATTGATAGATAGATACCAGTAGCCCGATGACCAGGGGTAATAGCTGTAAAGTCTGTGAACGTGCGTAAGCATGAAACTTAGACTATAAAATGCAATTACTAATCATAGTATGTAATGCTTCCAAGGCATCACCTTTACTAGATCTTTCCATAAACAAAACTTCTCCATTAATTCCACCTTCCAAAGAAGGATTTACTTATAAGTCCCCATATCATTTTGTTAAAACACAAACATAACAAAGTAAATACCTCTATAAGAAATGCCCACAGCAAGTTCACTGCCCAGAAATCCTCCGCCTATCACAGCTACAGATTTTGCTGATTTTACTGCATCACTTAATGATATTAAATCATTATACTGAAAATACAAAAAAGTCTGATCAGGAACCATGCTGTTCTCTATCAGTTCCTCTACTTGTTATAGGGTTTGTAAGCGAACAGCATGGATCCTGATCAGACTGGTCTGGATCCATGCTGGTTGCAAACCCATTATGTTGGTTTTGTCATGGCGCGGCTCATATTACATACAAGCATTAACAACATGAATAATAACTCTTTTACGCCCGTTTACGAAAGCTTTAGATGGAGATGGGGGCATTATGGATAAGTGTTATCTAGCAAGCAAGTTTTTATTCTTGGCACTGTGTTGTTAAATGAACCTTAAAACAAATCAGTAGGGAAGATATGCACAGGATGTGTGACCTTGACCTTGGTCGCAGGGACCTGAATTTTATGCACGGCACTCAGCCTCACAATGATGAACATTTGTGCCAAATTATATTGAAATCCCTCTATGCATGTAGAAGTTTTGCTCCAGACAAGCGTTTTTCTATGAGCTCTAACTGTGACCTTCACCTTTGACCTATAGACTTGGTTCATGTGCAGGGCACTACGTCTCATGGTGGTGAACAATTCTATAAAGTAACATTAAAATTCCTCCATGCATGTAGAAAATATGCTCCGGACAACATCTGGATATTTAATCATCTCCAGTGACCTTGACCTTGCAAATATTAACCTAAATTAAATGTGTCACACCTGTAGTCATGATAGTTACCATTTGTGCTACAATCCATCAATAAATGATGACTAAATGGTCCCTATTCCCTAAACACATCTTCAAATTTTTATCTGAACTTTGACCTCTATGTGTAACATTGACTTTGGTCGCAGGGATCTGAATTTTGCGTGCAACACTCAGCCTCACAATGGTGAACATTTGTGCCAAGTTATATTGAAATCTCCCTATGAATGTAGAAGTTATGCTCCGGACAAGCGTTTTTCAATGAGCTCTAAGTGTGACCTTGACCTTTGACCTGGAGACCTGGATCATGCATGGAGCAATACATATCATGGTGGCGAACATTTCCATAAAGTATTATAAAAATTCTTCCATACATGTAGGAGATATGCTCCAGACAAAATCTGGATATTTCACCATCTTTAGTGACTTGACCTTGCATATATTGACCTAAAGTACATGTGTCACAGCCGTAGTCATGATAATGACCATTTGTGTTACAATCCCTCAATAAATGATGATTAAATCGTCCCTATACACATCTTCATATTTTTATCTAAACTTTGACCTCTATGTGTGACCTTGACCTTGGCTGCAAGGACCTGAATCTTGCGCGCGACACTCCGCCTCACAATGGTGAACATTTGTGCCAAGTAATATTGAAATCCCTCTATACATGTGGAATTTTGCTCCGGACAAGCATTTTTCAATGAGCTCCAAGTGTGACCTTGACCTTTGACCTAGAGACCTGGTTCATGTGCGCGACACTGCTCCTCATAGTGGTGAACATTTCTATGAAGTTTCATGAAAATCCCTCCATACATGTAGGAGAGCTGAACTGATATTTACTTGAAAATTAAAATATAATTAAATTTCTATGAGAAAGTATTTACATTTGATAAGGTAATTACTGTATGATCTTTATGAACAAATACCAAGTCTACAGAACACCATAGTTATCACAGTTAAGAATCTTGACCAATGAATGAAACATGTGTAAATAAATGTTACATTCTTTAGAACATACTCAAGTCCAAGAAAGAGGATTATTTTATGCCCTTTGATTAAATTCTATTTTTAGAATTGAAAGTAGATCAAGGGGAGTAATTGTGTAAGTCATTTATGAACAAAGTAATAACTTTGTTGTCGCCCTTTGATTAAATTCTATTTACAAAATCTGGATATTTCATCATCTTTAGTGACCTTGACCTTGTATATATTGACCTAAATTATATGTATCACAGCCATAGTCTTGATAATGACCATTTGTGTTACAATCCCTCAATAAATGATGACTAAATGGTCCATATACACATCTTCATATTTTTATCTGAACTTTGACCTCTATGTGTGACCTTGACCTTGGCTGCAAGGACCTGAATCTTGCACGCGACACTCCGCCTCACAATGGTGAACATTTGTGCCAAGTAATATTGAAATCCCTCTATACATGTGGAAGTTTTGCTCCGGACAAGCATTTTTCAATGAGCTCTAAGTGTGACCTTGACCTTTGACCTAGAGACCTGGTTCATGTGCGCGACACTGCTCCTCATAGTGGTGAACATTTCTATGAAGTTTCATTAAAATCCCTCCATACATGTAGGAGATATGCTCCGGACAAAATTGGACGCAGCCCGCCCGCCCGACCGCCCGCCCGACCGCCCGCCAGGGGCGTTCCGATAATACGTCCCGTTTTTCAAACGGGCGTATAAAAAAGGAAATAATTACAAAATTAACATATGAAAAAAAAAAATCTGAAAATGTATGCTTATAGATTCCTCTTTTCCTAAAGAGTTTAAAGACGACAAAATTATTTTATACATAATGTCTCAAAATATCTGAATTTTCAACAACTGAGCTGCTTTGGCCTTTAAACAATGAACAAACACTATAAGTCAACATGAAATTAGAATACTAGAATAACAATGGCACAGATAAGTTATATCATATCTATAAGCATTCACAAGTAAGTTCTTTTTTAGGGATTGTCATGAATACCATCTCATTCTTATTATTAATCAGATAAAAATATCAAAATAACTTGTCACATACATTCCTAAATAAAGTTGTTCTACTTTTAACATCTTCACCAGCTTTTTCTAACACTTCATCATTTCTAGGATACCCGCCTGAAATAAATCAAAAGTGGATAATAATTCTTCAATTCTGAACGAAATATAAGAAAGTTAATGTCCCTACTTGTACAAAGACACTCATTCTACACAAATTCAGAAAAATACCAATAACTCATAAACCATATGGTAAATTTTGCATACAGGTGTCCTTTAAGGCATATAACTGTCCTATATGTTATCAATTTTACAGTTCCTTATAGTGCCAATTAGCGGTGTCCTACCTTAATCTGAAATACATTCACTAGGTCAATTCAACCAACTACATTCATGCAAGGATTCCATCAAACACTTAAACAAATTTACCGGTAGCTAACCTCATTTTCCATTATTTTAAAAATAATTTCTCCATTTGACACTTCTAACTTATTTCTTTTGTCACAAATATTTTGTTGTCCAATAACCATATCATAATCAACTTCTATTTGCATATTCATGACACAAAGATCATGTTAAAATAAAGCTTTTTTTTACAACCTTAAAAGACATGTATAATGTTATAACTAGAAAAGTAACCAAATTTTTTTATAAAACTAAAGAAATGTTTTATTTCATTTTTAGTACATTTTAAAAAAGATTATATTATCATCACATGTCAGAACAATAAAACTTTTTATCACATAAACCATGGCCCACGAGTGTAATAAAGCCATTTAATAAAAACGATATTAGACTAGTGTAATAACACTTTGATGTTACGTCATTTGCGCTATATATAAACATAGGGTTAAAGCACGCTAATGTTAGCGTTACACTACAGACATGACAATGAAAAAATTACTTGTTTTAACTGTAAACTGTTCTCTTTTGAATATGTGATAAATAGAATATTATATTCGTGTAGATTCAATACTAAATTTATTAAACTTGTTGAATCAAACAATATTATGCTCACCAGAGGCTGGCATAATATGATTTTATTCAACTCGTTCAATAAATTTAGTATTAAATCTACACTCATTCAATATCATCTATATATTATCTTTACAAACCTGTAGCAATTAAACATTTATCAAATGTTATTTCTGATCCATTGTCTAACATAACTTTTTTGTTTACAGAATCCAGCTGAACAACCTAGTGAAAATAAATAGATAAATAATCATATTGTGCAATGAATTACATGTATGTAAATAACCAAAATGTTACATAAAATATGTCACAAAATTATTACAAAATGCTGCATGTGAAGAATTTTTTTTTTTTTGTGTGTGTTGTACCCGCTTTTGTAAGCTCCCATTTCAATGACCTGAACAAAAACTATTTTCAAATACAATCATATAGGTATCATATCAACTACAAGCCTCCACTTGTTTGTTTAATAATTGGACCATTACAACATTATGTCATTTCATTTGTCAAAGATCAAGAAAAGTATTGAAATATGTAAGAAAATAGGAATGGTTGAACAAATATATGCATTACTTAATACAGGCTATTTAACTCATTTTAATTCAGTAAGTTACATTAACTTACATATTTAACACAATAAAACAATTACTGAACAATTTGCTGAGAATAATGTGTTTACCCTTGTGTTTTTAAGAAGACCTAATCCCCCTCTCTCAGAGAAAGGCAATTTCTTAGGCTCCATGTAAATACCCTCTAATAAAAATATCCTGAAACAGAAAAGAAATAGTGATCACAAATTATACTAGCATATAATACAAGAGCTGTCGGTAGGACAGCAACGCTCGACTATTCTTAGTGCTTGATAGTAAAAAAAATGCCTGATACAGTTACCTCCTCCTGTTTACAGGTTGGGGTCATGATGTTGAACAAGTGTGCAAAGTTTCAAAGCCATATGTCAATGGACTTTGAAAATATTTGAACTATTACAAAAACTTTAACGTATATTCTAAGTCGAAAAAGGGGCATAATTCTGTCAAAATGCTTAATAGAGTTACCTCCTGCTGTCTACAGGTTGGGGTCATGATGTTGAACAAGTGTGCAAAGTTTCAAAGCCATATGTCTATGGACATTGAAAATATTTGAACTATTACAAAAACTTTAACGTAAATTCTAAGTCGAAAAAGGGGCATAATTCTGTCAAAATGCTTGATAGAGTTACCTCCTCCTGTCTACAGGTTAGGGTCATGATGGTGAACAAGTGTGCAAAGTTTCAAAGCCATATGTCAATGGACATTGAAAATATTTGAACTATTACAACAACTTTAACGTAAATTCTAAGTCAAAAAAGGGGCATAATTCTGTCAAAATGCTTGATAGAGTTACCTCCTCCTGTCTACAGGTTGGGGTCATGATGGTGAACAAGTGTGCAAAGTTTCAAAGCCATATGTCAATGGACTTTGAAAATATTTGAACTATTACAAAAACTTTAACGTAAATTCTAAGTCGAAAAAGGGGCATAATTCTGTCAAAATGCTTGATAGAGTTACCTCCTCCTGTTTACAGGTTGGGGTCATGATGTTGAACAAGTGTGCAAAGTTTCAAAGCCATATGTCAATGGACTTTGAAAAATATTTGAACTATTACAAAAAACTTTAACGTATATTCTAAGTCGAAAAAGGGGCATAATTCTGTCAAAAATGCTTAATAGAGTTACCTCCTGCTGTCTACAGGTTGGGGTCATGATGTTGAACAAGTGTGCAAAGTTTCAAAGCCATATGTCTATGGACATTGAAAATATTTGAACTATTACAAAAAACTTTAACGTAAATTCTAAGTCGAAAAAGGGGCATAATTCTGTCAAAATGCTTGATAGAGTTACCTCCTCCTGTCTACAGGTTAGGGTCATGATGGTGAACAAGTGTGCAAAGTTTCAAAGCCATATGTCAATGGACATTGAAAATATTTGAACTATTACAACAACTTTAACGTAAATTCTAAGTCAAAAAAGGGGCATAATTCTGTCAAAATGCTTGATAGAGTTACCTCCTCCTGTCTACAGGTTGGGGTCATGATGGTGAACAAGTGTGCAAAGTTTCAAAGCCATATGTCAATGGACTTTGAAAATATTTGAACTATTACAAAAACTTTAACGTAAATTCTAAGTCGAAAAAGGGGCATAATTCTGTCAAAATGCTTGATAGAGTTACCTCCTCCTGTCTACAGGTTGGGGTCATGATGGTGAACAAGTGTGCAAAGTTTCAAAGCCATATGTCAATGGACTTTGAAAATATTTGAACTATTACAAAAACTTCAACATAAGTGGTTACGCTGACGCCGACGCTCGGGTGACTGCAATAGCTCTACTTATTCTTATCGAATAGTCGAGCTAAAAATGAGCCAATCAAACACAGATGCTTCCATCCAGGTGAACATGTTCTTGGCTACCTCACCTAAAAGATGCTTAACAGAATATTTTTTAGCATTTTAAATTAGTTTTGGGGCAACAAAATTGTACCATTGCAAATGAATTGTTACACATTTACTTTCATAAATCAGCTAACTACATTTGTATTAACCAGTCTTAATAAAAAATAACTTTAACCTGTTCATGAGTAAGCATTTACCAAATTAAATTTAGTGAACATCTCGTGCCATTCTTGACCAATGTAATGTTGTAAATGCTGACTAATGAACACTAACCTATACCTGATGAAAATTTCAGAATGATTAACTATGATAACTGATTGACTATGAAACACATATAGAACTGTTTTCCTTCAAACAGGTCTACAATTATTTATATATTAAAACTTGGGAGATACATACGTAGACTTTTTGCCTCTCATATTTGTATATTGGAATTCTTTTGCAGCATTTTCATTTTCATCATACCAGAAATGTTTTGATAAAGGTGGACGCCAGTATGGTAAATAATCTTCATCTCCAATCATTAAAACCTAAACATAAAAATATTCAGAAAAGGAATTTTAATGATAATAACATCTTCTGTAAATTATTCTAGTTATCTTTCTTAATGATAATGCAAATCTTTGATTGCTAGCAAGAAAGCCCAATTAACTGAAATTCCCTGATGTACTCAATCACTATCAGTTATTTAAGAATTTAATTAAATATTCTTTTCCTTACTAAATGCAATTAAATTTATTAACATTAAAACCATAGAATAACTAACCTTAGCTTTTGGATCTGTAGTTTTGATAGCTTTAAATGCCTCTATTGATGCTATACCACTTCCAATTAGTAAATAAGGTACATGACTTGGTATTTCTGGTACCTTAGACCAATCTATTTCTTCTGGAAATAAAACCATTTAAGAATCATCAATACGATTCTTACTAGAAGTTTACATTAGAGTTGGTGCTGTTGTTACTCAACATTATTTTTAAGGAAGAAGTTGGAGTGTATCAATTGGGATATTTATCCTTTTAACCTGCTGAAACCAAAAGTATATTTATTCTTAGAGTTTGTGGCCCAATGCTTGGCACATACTGATGCTCAGTGTATACCAATGCTTGGTGTAAGATAGTATTTTTGTCTAAACATCTGAAAATGTTTCATAGAATATCCACATTCATGCAGTCTGACCAGGCTCTTTACCGTAGGTAGTTCAATTTTTACATTTTGTTATTCAAATAATCCCTCCTTTTTAAAATGGACTGATCCAAGTTCAAAACAGGGCAAATTCACTACATAAATTTAGTAGGCTAAGGGCTGAAGTTTGTGGAAATCTGGTTTGTCTTAAAAAACAGGCTATTTGGTATTTTAAAAACTATAAATATCAAATCTAAAGCATAAATATAAAAACAATGACTTTTGAGCTAAATTCAAAATAATGGTGCAAGTGAAAAATAATTGAGATGTCCAGCAAGTATAAAGGCTTCAATGATGGACAGTGGACGAGAAAACTAGAAGTTTTTGTGACAGGAAAGAGACACATTAATAAGTCATTAAGAACTTTTTTTAAAGCCTGCTGCCTGCCAAGATGAGTCAAAATATTTCCAATAAGAATCAAACTGTGGAAAATGTAACTCAAGATGTAGAAGGAAAAAGTAAAAAGTTTCAAAGATTCAGAAATATATTTAACATTATTATGGTGTGATTAATGACTGAATTTTCATGTAATTTACAACTATATTTTCTAACTCGCGTATCTAACGCAGTAAAGGCTATTTATGCCATATTTTGACCACTTTTCGGTATTTTACTTGTTTGTAAAGTGCCCATTGATAATGGTGGGTTAAATTGCTTCCTTTTGTTACTTCACAATATTAGCACAATTCATCTAAATGAGCATTTTTTCAAAATTTCCATGAAAATATAGCAATAATTCTGGAAGACGTGCTGCTTTAAACATCAAGATGGTGTTTCTAGCACAATATTGCTACATTATGAAACGCCTGGTTGCTGTTTTCTCAATACACACGAATTATATGCAACAACCATTTCCATACATTAAAATAATTTTTCTAAATCAAATATAGTTCAAAACTTTTACTATAATTATATAATCATTCTCAGACTTTTTTCCTTTGACTGACTGCTTACTGTATGGCTTACATTATTTGAAATTATTCATTATCAAATGCTTTGCAACAGACAGCCTTTAAATTATCTATCATTGATTGGAAGGTGATTTTTACAAAAAAAAGATCATCTATAGACTGCTGGATCAATTTTGATTATCATTTTTTAGTTAGAGGGCTGTGTTAGCCGTATGTCAACAGCTGATTAATTCCCTACTTAATAATTATCAACATGAATTTTTCTTTACTGTTTATGTTACCTTCTTGTTTATCAAAATTGTTGCTGGCATTTTGTAAATTAAAGCATTAGTATTGCTGTCTTGCTGAATAAAAAATGGGATTCCCCCCACCTTTTTCCCAAAAAAAAGACCCAACACTTGTGTCTTTTTCAGACTTGTCTGTTGGCTTGACTGTTGGCTTGACTGTTGACTTGTCTGTTTGAGACTTCTCCTCTGACTCTGAGGTAGTTTTCGTGTTTTTGGAAGAAGCTCCGTTACTTGCATGTAGTTTCTTTCTTTCATTCCAGACCTGTAATATTCATTCATGATTTCAAATAGCAAATTCAATTACTTTAATCCTTTTTAAAAGCTAAATTTATTATAACAATTGTGTCTGATAGTTAAAAACATTATCACAAACACGGAGACATGCATAAAGTATCAAGTGAACACCTCCTTTGAAGTTTAATGTTGCATGCATAATTTTAACGAAGAATTTTAAGTTAAAAAGGGCAATAATTCTGTCCAAATCTATGCTAGATTTATTGGCCTTAAAGGATACTGAACTCCTAAATTCCTCTCATATAAGCATGTGAAGTTACAAGCAAATAGTATTAGTGGTTGATGAGATAAGATATTACATGTTAAACTTTAATTTAAGTGTTACGATGATGCCGACGCCAACTTGAGTAAGATAGCCCACTATTCTTTGAATAGTCAAGCTAATAAAAATTAAAGTATCATCAAACTAGAATATCATCAATAAAAGAATAATTACCACATAAGATGTAATGGAGACTCCTAGTCCTGCTAGAACAGATATCATATATGACCGTGACCTATCTTCAGTCTCATTCTGGTTGTGATTTTGCTGCGTGTGTGGTGATGTGTGTAGCTGTGAATTTGAGCAACGGGACAAACAACAGCATCGTGGAGCTAGAAATTTAAAATATATGTCATATATGGGTCTTTCTAGTAAGATTTGAACTGAACTGTTTTCAAAATAACTGTATCACATTATTTTTTTTTCTCCAGTTTTGATATAAATAAAGAGATGTAAAAAAAGTTAAATCTAAGTGTGTTTTATTTTCTGAATTTACGGATATTTTTGAGATTTTCTGGTTTTTATCTCCTCTTGTTGCATTTTATCCCATATAATGGCTGAGATAAATCAGCACCGCAAAGAAAATAATCTTTTGGATATATTGGTGCAAGCCACAAGTGCTGATTGCATCTATTTAATGTATACTTCAAGATTATAATTAATGATGAAAATATGAAAAACTGGGATAAATCTCTAAGTTTACCAATTTAGCTTAGCTTGAAAAATTAACAAGAGCTGTCTGAAAAGCAGTATGCTCCACTTTTCTCAGTACTTGATGGTATGATAAAAGCAAAGAAAAGGGGGCATTATTTGAAAAAAAAACAACAACAGAATTGTTTGCCCAAGATTAAAGTATTTCAAGCTTAAAGTGAATACATGTGATGGTTTGTGAAAAAATTACTAAAACATAAAAACTATAAAAAGGGAGATAATTTAGGAAAAGTGCCTTACAGGGTTATCTGCCACTGAGAAATTTAATCCAATTTTGAAAGCAATTCTAAACTTAAATTGAATATCTCTGATAGCATCCAAGGTTGCAAGCAAACAAGAATACCAAGTTTGAAATGATAAACTATGTTATTTATTGAGCAATTGGACCTTAACCTATTACCTAATATGAAATTAGGCAAAGCCTATAGATGAACAGGGCAGTTGGTTAAAATAATCATTCATTTTTCTGTTTTATAGGTGTCATTAGGTATTTAAATTCATGCACTGCTTCGGAACACTTGACATTTATTATTAATTTTAAAAGTTTTGATTGTTCCGTTATGTTTTTTATTTGATTTCCTTTAAAATATACATGTGTAGTCTATAGCCGGCAAGCCAAAGCTTCCCCGTATTAAAGGTTACTGTGACATTGAGTGATTGTCCGTTATGTCTGCTGCAACATGTAGAACTCATCAAGACATATATCCATTGTTCACGTTTCATTGTTTTAGCTTTCTTAGTACTGATGGAATTTACCATTAACAAAAAAGGTCAACCAATTCAAATGGCATTAAGTTGGAAAGGGCAACTATATAGTCAATCCTTTACCTTTACAGTTGAGTTCACACTAAAGGTTACACAAAGTGCACTAGGAGTGCACTAGATGTGCACTACTAGTGCACTACAAAGTGCACTAGTAGTGCAGACTACTAGTGCACTTCATAAGTGCCAGCTGTTGTAGTGCACGCCAGACCTATTATATGTATTAAGCAGTTACTTTTATTGTCACTGAAAAGCAATTTGACTTTTACAAAAAGATGAGAAAATATAGATATCTGTTTAATAGTTTTTCAATAAAAATTTTGAAATTGTGATTATTGGTTTTGTAAATATGGCGTAAAATATTAGAACAATAAATTTGCAAAGTCATTATTTTACTGATTTTGTACTTTAAAATTTAATTGTTAGAATAAGTAATTTAAATATAAATAATTATAACTTTAATGTGATAGTGCATAAATAAACAAACTTAATTGATATTTAATATGTAAATTCCTATTTTAATTATTATCTGGTAATGAAATATGAAACATTGAAATGCTTAATCAACTAAAATTAAGTCATGTTCTTTTTTGGGGGGAGGGGGGGAATTATATACGTAGTATTAGTTATTTTTGATCTTAACTTATGGTTTGTTGGTTTAGTTAAAGGTAATGAATTTTAAGGCGATTAATAGGCCTTTAATACATTAAAGAAATTAATATATTTATAATTGGCCGCTAAATTTTTGTCATTTTATTTCCATTTTTAGATCTCTCTTACCTTCTCAAAATGAGATTTACGCTAAGATTAATATAAATGATATATATTATTCTGAAAATAAATATTGTATATATATAATGGTGGTATGTATTGATATGTGTGGATTAAGTTATTGTATATTAACCTGTGGGATACTAGTGATACCTTAAACTGACATGGATATTAATTAACAAAAAGAATTAAGAAAATCTGTCGCAATTCCATTTTTGAGACGACACCAATCTTTTTTCCTTTTTTTTTCAGTGCATTGTATTAGATTATTTAATGCAAATATCGAATCTGAATTTAATGAGTTTATTATAAATTGCAAAAATAGTTCATTTTTCTTTTATTGTAGCTATGTTGTATGAGGTTTGATTTTTGCGTCGACCAGAACACGTCCAGAGAATACTAGAATTGTAGCTTTAGCCTGAGAAATCCTGGCTTATGTTATTTAACGCCTTAGGGGCTATCTATCACAAGGCAGGGTACTATACTTAAACACACCTATGAGCAAGCGTATGACTTTTTGGACACTTTATCTGGCTCCTGTAGATCGTGTTGTTCTAGCTCGCACATGGTATTGATATTAAATTATAAAAAAAAATATAAAAAAAAGAAAACAGAGAAAAAAACTACGCTATCTGGCATTGAAAGTGAAAAGGAGGTTGCAAGAAGTTATTGATAATCTATGTTTAAATAATAGTTTTCTTTAGAAATATATTATGCTGTCTAAGGATTATGGCGTAAAACGTAGACAAGTGCAATGTTGGTCAATTTCTGGTAATAGAAAGAAATAATGTCCCCCAGGTATCAAAGAAGATCCTGAATAAGATGCTGATGCAAATTTTAATGAGATCTGCAAGAAATGTGTAGAAAAATATTTGATGGACAGCTCTTTGGAGGAATTAGTTAGACCAGCATGAATATTGGTTTTAAACGCCCATGTTTGTATAGTTATTGATATAAGATTAGAAAGAAGTGTTCCTACTCTTCGAAGGACAATAGCAATTTGAATTAATAATATTTAGATCGTGCGTTTAGTGGACATTAAGATCTATTTGTTAGCATATGTATTATAGCAAAAGTAATGAGTGCATGATGATATCAGAATGACTATACATGTATTTTGGGGAAAAAAGGGAAAATTTTCAATAAATATTGCATACAGTTTGCATTTTTGTTTATATGTACGCCTAGCAGTGCCTGCCGTTAGTTAGCGCAGGAGAGCCATGTGTAAATGAAAAGCAGTTCGCTTCGTCAAGAAAGAAATTACCAAGATGTACCACAGCATGACTGCCGAGACTTTGCCTTTGTACGTAGTAAAAGTCATTGTCCATTATTATACAAGTTATCATTTTTAAGTAGGTAGAAATCTTGAGATTGTATATTGTAATCAGATTGTTTAGTTTATGTTGTAAGGATGGAAAATTTGTGAATTTGAGTTGGTATGATCAGCGAAGTTTCGAGTGTTAAAGGAAGTATGCGAGATGCATGTTTAATGGGTTGAGAAAGCTAAGTCTAGATAGTCAGTCAGTGGTATGGAAGCGATGAAAATGTGTTATGACGAAATGTTATATCTGCAATTAATAATTTCCGTTTCAATCTTGAACATGAAGGAATGTTCCTCTTAAGTTATATATTTATCACGGATTTATATTAATAGTATATATAACGTAATTATATGATGCGGCGTGATATTATTATGCAGAATGGCAAGAAATGTGGATAAATGGATACATATAGAAAATTCCCGCTTTAGAGACAATAATATCAGAGACATAGATAACATCTATCTATGTCTCTGATAATATCTATTATGCATTTATGCCTTTATGTTTTTTTTGTATATTTGATTATACAAAAATTATGGTCATTTACTGACTGCCAACGCCTGATGAATCCCAGGCTTATGTCTAACATGCATTTTGAGAAAACCAGGGAATTTCAATGCATTCTTATAAATCTTGCAAAATTGACTGTTCTTTGTTATTTACCCTGAGGCCCCTCTTATCAGCAGGAGAGTGTATATTGAAAACAGTCCCTCTCAGAAAATACCAATACAACAGCATGACTTGAGATTTTCCTCTTCAATAAAAGTATTCCCTTTATACATTAAATTTTTAATATTAAAATAATGAATAAAGATATCAAATTTATTTATTTTATGGATAAATATCTAAATTATTTGCATAAACATATGCAAGCATTACACAGTTGAATACTAAATTATCACAGTATATTGATTGTTTTAAAATCAATGTATTAATATTCTTTTTCAATATTGAACATGATGAATTGTCTCTAAGTTATATATTATAGAAATAATATTTTAGCTTAAATATAACCTTTCCTTGATTTGTTTGAGCTTATGAAAAAAGTTTATGATATAACAAACTAAATTAATCGGGCCAGAATTATCACATTGATTTATACCATTTGTACACTAGAAAAATTGAAATATATGGCCATTTAACAAAAAAGCTTTAAAAACACTTATTTAATTATCCATTATGGAGCATATTTAAATTTAACCTTATTAATTCTATAAATTTGATTTTAAGGGGTATTATTTTTCACTTACAGTTAAATACTGGTTAATAAAAATATGATTACAATAAATGAAAAAAACATTTTAATTTTAAGCTTCAACATGATAATCACCTAAAATGTTAAAACTGCTGATTTTAAAATTTACTTATTTATATTTATGAATAGGCCATATATATATTTTCCCAATTTATTTTTTTCATACAGCAGCGTAACAATGGTATACAATTATCCAATAAACCATTTAGGTGTCACCTTCCCTGGCCAGCCTGGTCATATGGTCTAGTGCACTAGAAGTGCACTTCTAGTGCACTTCTAGTTCAGCTCTAGTGCACTAGAAGTGCACAAGGGTGGGAAGTTTAGTGTGAACTCAACTGTACCTTTACCTTCTCCTTCTTCTGAGCATTTAAGCCAAGATGGCTTGTAAGCTCCTCCTATACAGTATTATCAAGTTAACTTCAGTAAATGTCACTTGTATTAAATCTTTGACTTTGCCAGCTCCGGTCGAGTAAAGTTTTAAATGTCAAAACACTTTCACTGAGAACAATGTTTTCATCTAGGGTTATTCCACTGGTCAATGGCATCTAATAGGAAATGAATTTTTCCTTAGTGTTTTATTCACACTTGTTTAAATAGTTGGAATATATGTCCACGTGTACAGTTATCATTGAACACAAAAAAATTTATCCGGGGTCAACATTATCAAACCCATTAATTATTTTAATAAATTTGAATGAGGTCAAATCGTTGTCTACGATATAAAAGTGTTGGCAAATTAAGCCTAACAAGTCTTTGTTCATAGGACAAACCTTTCAATGATGGAATAATTCTAGTTGCCCTTCTTTGAATATTTTCAATCAATTGAATGTTTTTCTTTGTAGATGGAAAATAAACAGAAGATCCATAGTCAACAATTGATCTTATCAGACTTTTGTAGACAGTCAAGAACATAGGTATTGTCATGCAGGAAAAACTTCTCTTTATTAAACCCGTTAATTTCTTCGTACGGTTTACAGTATTTAAGACATGTTGATCAAATTTAAGATTATCTTGGAATGTGATGCCGAGATCCTTCTCACTATCAACTTTAGGTAAAGAGATATTTTGACTATTAGTGTCTTTCATTTTGTAGATATATGGAAGCTTGACGTTACCAATCTGCATTGATTTACATTTTGGAATGGAAAATTGAAGCAGCCAGTCCTCTGACCAGTCACATAAACGTAGTAAGTCTTGTTGAAGTAACAACTGATGTTGAAGTAACAACTGATCGTTTTGAGAATAAATCTTCCTGTATAATTTGCTATCATCAGCAAATAATTTACATGTAGACTGAACAACTTCAGGCAAATCATTTATGTAAATGATAAATAAAACTGGACCAAGGACTGAACCTTGCGGAACTCCTGACGTGATATTAGACCAAGTAGAAAATCTATCTTCAACACAAACCCTTTGTCTCCTATTAGTGAGAAAATTTTGTATCCAATTCAGTATGGGATTGTCAATACCATAGTTCTTTAACTTCAAAAGTAAACGATTGTGAGGTATAGTATCAAAAGCTTTTTTAATGTCCAAATAAATTGAGTCTACTTGACAACTGTCATCAAAAGCTTTAGTCCAATCTTCTAAAACAGTCAGAAGTTGAAGAATACAATTCCTTTTGTTTCTGAAGCCAAATTGGTCATCCGAGAAAAGGTTATTTATATTCATGTGTTGCATTAGATTGTCACGAACAGTTTTTTCACACATTTTACATGTTATTGAAGTTAGAGAGATAGGACGATAATTTGAAGGATCACATTTATCACCCTTGTTTTTGTACAAAGCTTTAACATTAGCTTCTTTCCAAGCATCTGGTAAATCACCATTCTTAAAGGTTTTATTCATTATCCTACATAAAGGATCACATAAAACAGCTGCAGATTCCCTCACATGTTTTCTTAAAAAATGGTAAAAATAATGAGAATTTGATGCTAAAGGACATGTTCATGCTTGAAACATAATTAAACAAGTATGACAATAAGCAAACAGGGAGCAATTTACGGTATTCCAATTTACTACGTACCAATCTGATCAGGTGAAGAGTTGATTGAGGTGGGTACATTTAGTTTTGGGTACGATACGTTTTATAAAATTCGTGGCAAAGTGATATGGACATAACTTATCATAAGTTATTTCATATCCATGGTACATCCTATATTAAATATTAGACTAAACGTGTTCTGCAATGAAAACGCTTACGCCTACAGCCAGAAAACCGAAAAATACATGATGTAACCGGTGTCATTTGGGTACTGTAGCGAAAATGCTAGAAAATGTCAAAATAAATGTTGCAAGCATCAGTGAAAACAAGTGAAGCTTTCTTATAACATAAATAACGTGCAAGCACTTTTAAAACAATCACCTTTTAAACATTTTGCTTGTCTTGACAGTCTTACAGAATGTGTAAAACGTTGAATATTTTTACTCCACATGTTTGTAAATGTCAAAACAAATAAAGAGTTATAAAGGGAGACAATCTTCGGACCCCATGATCAGTTCAGTTCAAATTTTATAGTGTCTTAATAGAATATAATAGAATAGAATAGAATAAGAATAAGAATAGAATAAGAATAGAATTTACTTTTGTTTTCAGTCATGGGTCATTGTTGGTATCACACATTATAAATTGTATGAAACAATAAATTAATAAATAGCTAGTGAAGTTTTTGTTCCCTGATCAATATGCATTTCAAATGTCATTTTATTTTCCAGCTGTCGTCATCGTCATCTTAGTAGCTGATACTTTTTTAATTTATTATTATTATTATTATTATTATTATCATTTTAATAATAATTATTATTATTATTATTATTATTATTATTATTATTTGGCTTTCATGTGCTACCTGAAGTTTTTGCATTATTCAGAATGTTTTTAAATGTTCATAACTATACTGTAGCTTGTTTGCTTTTTTTTAATAAATTAGCTATTTAAATTTGATGACCTTTGTATAACATTCTTTTCTCTTGAAGCCTTTATAATTATAGTGATTGGATGAATGCCATTTTTCAATAACATGAATAAAATGTAAAATATGTTTATTTATATTATAAATGTTTAACATAAAACTAATACATTATATTGATTTAAATCAATAATTATACAAAGTACAAAAGAGTGAAATTGATGAATTAATTAAATGTTTTTTTAAAGTTTTTTTTTCAATAATAAAGAAAAAAAATAATGAAAAATACAACCATGCCAAAATATTAATATCTATAAAAAGTATGTGACAAAATCTGAAATATTACTTTTTTCTATTTTTTCTTCTTCTATTTGGTAACCGCTATACAATCACTTAGTTAGTGTACCTCTATATTGCACTTCAGGTGCACATATAGTGCACACCAAGTCCACTTTGTGTAACTAACCTTTAGTGTGATCTTCTGATGGTAGACCAACATTAATTTTAGTGACGTGTGACTGATATGTTAGTAACTGTTATGATTTTGAATCATCTACAGATTAAATGAATATTAATATTCAGAAAAAATATAATCTTTCTTATTTGTTAACTTTAAAATGAAAGGTTATAAAAAAGCGAACTACTGATGTAACTTGCAGCTGGGCATAACACGTAATATTATATAACAGCTTGCAGGCAAATTATGGCGTTCTTTAGGGATTCTATTTTCTTTTAGTGTTATAGATAGACACAATCTTGTGTTGAAAGTATGATCATCTGCGAAGTCACGGGCCGAGGCAGCTATCCTATGGGACGATGCATTCGAGAAAACGTGCAAATGGGTAAGATATATTGACATTCAGTACGTACGTACGTACGTGCTTATAGAGAATACCAAGATCTAATGCCGCGTTTTATCTTTATATTAGCAGCTTTGTTAATATCAACTACATAATTGTTATACATAGTATACATTTGCTATAATCAATTAGACCAGGGGATCGCTTCTAATGTGCACGGTGATCAGGGTTATACCATTCCGATTTATACAATTAGTAAGCTTATCTCGAAACTGGAACAAGTATACGTATAGATTGTCACAGCAGTTAATTAGCGCCTCCTAATAGTCAGAAAATTCTAAATGGCATAGAGATTGTTAAATGGCTAAGTAATTAATGTAAAAAAGAGAAAAAGTTTAACTGAACAGACTTGACTTGACTATAAAAGTGAGCATGATCCCCAATATCTTTGCCAACATTGTGCATCTAAAGCTTAACTCCAAATACCAACAACTGTGACTGCTTAAATCTAAGGTTATGGAAATGGTGTTGTCTATCTATTTATCTTCCAATAATATCATAACCCTCCCAGGGACGTAGACATGTTCAAAAAGGCAAAGAGATGGTCAAATCAACAGCTAGATCGAACTGTTCTCATTTATGACGAAACTTCAGACTTTTGGGTCGTTATACTAATAATGCAGTTACCACAAAGGCATGCTATGCACATTTGTATTTTATAATGGTACGAAAACGGGATAACAAATGCCAAGATTTGGACTTCATTAGACAATAAATATTGTTTGAAACAAATAAAATGTTATGCAGCCTAATTGTTAACGTTAACATTATGAACGTTTCAACCATTAATCATTTATTACTAGTAATTATTCATTTTTTCTGTGTGTTTGCACCGAGTAAATCAGCTTAAATGGGAGAACTTTGTTCTAGCTTAAGATTAATTTATCCCGGCAACATATTGTTCTCAGGTGATCCTTAAAACTATTGATTTCTAATAAAATAAACATTTCGTATACGTAATGTTAAAATAATGTCTTTAAAATAAAACGAATGTTAACAGAATGTTACATAATCTCACGAGATAATCTTTAAATTATGAGTTTTATCTCTGTTTACAAGAAGACGTGTCAAAACATCGTATAATCCAAAGCAATGTGTTACTAATCCAATTTCTTACAACATGAAGTAAATAATCTGTCTGTGTATCTGAAAATATCGACTGTTCCCCATTTCCTTTATATTTTCAGTGTGATATTCACAGACATATCTCTTTATTTGATACAAGCATAAAATACAGCAACGTGTGAGTACTCGACTTTCATTTTCTATAATTTTTGGTACCTAATTCAGATGCTTAGGAATACATGTACTTCATTTATTTTGATTAAGAACAAAGCAAAACGTGTCTGAAACATACGGTAATTTTGGTTATATAAGCACATAAGAAGAATTTTTTTTCTCATGTAAGAGAGAATACATGGACAATTTTTGTCTTTGACATAATTTCGTTGCTTGTTATTTTCTTCATTTAATAATTCAAAATGCATGAAGATATTTATGTAAAAAGTGTGTTGTTTTTTATGTTGGCAAATGGCTCAAGCTCACTTCAAATAAGCATACCTATGTTCCGGATCTTTATCTTGTCGTTTCGTCAATTTTCTCAGTATGTGATCAAATTTGTAAAGTACCGATTCCTCCTTTAGTTTTTAAAAAGAGCTATTCCTTTATCAATCCTTTTTCAGTAGCTTGAAGTGATATTTCATTCTTCATTGTTTTTGTTTGATAAAAATGAATATTTGCGAAATTGTTCATGTCATATCAAAATATTTATGAATTTTATACAATGTTTACGTGTGTAGCTTCAAATGTATTCAGACTTTCATTTTAATTATCTCTGGCAATATTGTTATATCGAAGAATTATAATCGTATTTTATGTTTATGCAGGGTGCAAGGACAACCATGTTTATCCTGCCGTTAATAGTATGGTATTTTATGGCTGCAGTGGTTGATGGATACAAGTAAAATCTTTTTATATTCCACTTTTAATGTACCTTTTTGATTACCATGTGTTTTGTCTATCTACTTACTTATTTTGTATACGGCTGTCTTTTTGTACAAATGGCGTCGAAGGAGAAATCTGAACCAAAAATAATTATGAGCGTTCTATAATATTAAATTATTTACTCCAAATATTTCGAATGTTCGACGAATATAAATTATTTTTAACAAAATGTATCAAATAATGAAGAAAAAATAATAAACACATATATAGATATAGATATATATTTTTTATATAAGTCTGATATACATGTACATGTAATTCAAATTAACATTTAGCTGTAGATATAATTTCGTCGAGTGGTATGAAAATAAATATTTCATGAGTAGTGGTAGAAAAAATTGAATTTTCTGTTTATCATAAACATTTCTCTTCTCTTTTGACGTTACAATTTGAAAGAATTTCCTTTAAATTGCGTGCATTGGCAGAATTAAGAAGAAAGTATTCGGCTAGACACCAGTGAAAATACTAAAAATATGTTTCACTGCAGTGAAAAGAAATTTTTTAAAGTGAAAAACAGCATTTAATTTCATCAATATTTTTCAAAATTTAATTAATAGGATACAGTATATAATAAATTTACTTACTTTATATATCAAAGTTACTGAAAACATCTTTTGTTAATACTTAGAGGATCTTGGAGGGTAATGTAAAACAGGAATGACTTTCATCGCATAATATAAAATATTATCATTTCATATCACTATAGATAAAAACAAATCCCGTGTTTAAAAAAAAAATATATAATATTTCTCATTTTATACCTTACGATTCAAAAGACTGCCACTTTAATTTTGTGTATTATCTGATCCACGCAGAAAATAGTCTGGAATTACGGAAAATATGTTTCATTGCAGTTAAAATATTTTTTACAGTGAAAATACGAAAAATAGAAACATGCATTTTATTTCATTAATATTTCATTCATAGTATGTAATAATGTTTTTATGTAACCGGCCACAGTTAAATAGTTTTGTATCTTTCTTTGAAGGAGAAGTAATGTTGATTTGTTAATTAAACAAACTCTTATCGTTCAGTTTATTAATAGAAAGTGTCCACTATGCCAAATTCACTTACTATAGGGGATGAATATCATAATGGTTTGCAGATATTTCTGACAAAAGAGAAGAAAACAGATATCCAAAATATCATTAAATATCAAGAACCTCTTTAGTAGATACTGAGAACCCTGAAGTATTCTTAGTCTATGTACATCTTATTTAATTCAATATGCTTCCAGGAGTAGTGCATTTAGAAGGATCAGTTTAAATGGTAACAGTAGGTCACTCAATTTGCCAAAGGCATAAAGATTGAAAAATATTCTTCAAAGTAGATAATTCACGCTTAATATCGCTGTGCTCATATTTAATTTTTATTTTATTACATTTGTATTTGTTTATTAATAAATGATTAGTCTATCGTTACAAATGTAACCCTGACGAAATCAAAATAAAAAACAAACTTTTTTAAATTGCTCTTAAGGCAATTCCGATTTGTCTTACATGAGTCGCTAAACATGTTTTATTTTTATGTTCTCAATGGCTATTTCCTTGATGTAGAACTAATATTGAATATTTACAGCTCCTACATAGTGTTATGTCCCGACACAGTGCGCCCCGGAATGGAGTTTACAGTCCAGTTGAATAAACTATATACACTCTAAATCTCAGTGTTTTGATTCCAAACACATGTGAAAAAACACCTATCTGTAACAGTTTTTTAAAACATGTTGCGGTGTTTTCACAAAACACTGATGTTTCACACTAAAACACGGGTGTTTTCCTAGAAAACGTGTTTAGGTGTTT